TCAGTTTCAGTCACTTACGTTTGATAATCAATACGTATCACTGGTAGGAGTACATATCAACTCGTGGGTAGTGTAGGGAATAGACAGTTTCAGTCACTTACAAGTTGCGGTCGACACACATGCCACCCCAGGGACCACCGGTAGCCCCAATCAGCTCATTCCTATAAGCAAGGAGAGAGGTGCGTGAGCAGCTCATTCCTATAAGCAAGGAGAGAGGTGTGTGAGCAGCTCATTCCTATAAGCAAGGAGAGAGGTGTGTGAGCACACGCAGGGTGTGTCTATCGAAACGGCGAAGTGTTCATATATGCGTAATACACCACACAAGTCGTGCGGAGATGCGGATTTAAGTAACCACAAGAACAGACTTACAACTGGATCGGATTCGTCTTTGTCACTGCGTATGCCTGTGGATGGAAATCATACGCAAGCATTAGCGACAACCGTTGTTCACAGTGGTAATATGGATTTGATTGAAAGTCGAATGTCGCAGACGCGATGGAAAGAAGGGACTCTGGACCAGATGTTTGGTGTGCTGCACGTTGCCTATGCAATGCTAAGACTTGTTCATACAGCTAGTATTGGGGTGTTATGTTTGGTGTGTTGCACGTTGCCTATGCAATGCTAAGACTTGTTCATACAGCTAGTATTGGGGTGTTGTACGTTGCCTATGCAATGCTAAGACTTGTTCATACAGCCGAGTATTCAATACTATTGTTGCTAAAATAAAATTGTGGCTATGATAGTCTCGTTGCTATAATAAACTGTTGCTATGATAGTCCTGCTGCTATTAAATAGTCTTGTTGCTATAATAGCTGTTTCTTAAGTACATCGCTACGTGTCATAGAGATCCTGTGCTGATATGGCTGTCACGTAGTCACATCGTAGTACACGCAGCACACACGCACCCCATACCGTAACATCAACGGTGCCAGCCCCACAGTCTGCGACCAGGAATTTACTATCCTGCTGCAACACGCCATTGAGTTGACTCTCGATGGCTATGGCAGCGGCTTCCTGCATGATTTACATACAAGATTGTCAAGCACGTATAGGTACTGACTAGAACACTTGGATGTATGCTAGCGATATCAGTTTAATTAGTGTGGTAAATTGAACGGAGAGTGTCCGTGATACTATGGTGTAGTCGCGATGTCAACTAACCCAAAGACAATACTCCTGGATAAAGGCAGTGTTTAATCCTACATACATATAAGTCTACTACATGGCACTCTAACAATATCAAACAGTTTGGCAGGAAGTACGGTGCACAAACACTTGCACGTCCACAAACGATAACTAATATCCTACGGTGACGTTATCGTCCCGCTATTGGCGCTATGTTGCATACCGGTTCCAGCGCAATCTTCAGCCGCGCCGACATGCTGTACTGCACAATACCAGCCTCAGTGGCAGCCTGGCGCATAAACAGTTTAGTGCGCTCTTCCCATATCACAGGCACTGTGATCACCCAGGCAATCTCGTCCACCTAGGCACAACAGTGTAAACGAGCAAGGATGAGAAGTCAGTAGAACAGCATAGCTGTCACTTGATATATTTAAGTCTGGGTGCAAGATGCTAAGATTCTAAGCCATGTTAAAATGTTTGCGCCCGTCGGTGCGTTTGTGTATTTGCACACAAATAAATCGAAGCGAACATTTAGCTTACCTTTAATGCGCGTGTTATCTGTTTGAGGATAAAACTAATCGCGTACTCCTTAAGTGCGCATAACGACATGGCGAGCAGTTTCAACGCAGGAATAGTATGTACACCATCTTCAGCCGTTATAATGGGATCTGTGCCCGGCTTCATGTTGTACAGGGCCATCTTAAAACCCTGATATAGTGCACAAGTTTTTGTAGCCGTAGGGGTGGCAGTATTGGCATTCCCATTTTCCCCTGAGATAATGTTTTTCTCTTCCAGGTAAGTCATATACGCCTGTACAGCCTCTCGTCCGAACGCCAACAAGTTGTTATGCTCGTCTAGGAATAGCGCAGTAGGCGTTTTGCCGGCGATGTTTTCTCTCGGTGCACCTATGCTGATTTTACTGCCACCCGAGGCTGTCATAGCGTAGCCTATACCACAGTAAGCGGTACCTGTATGTGACATATACATGTGATCGGTGTAGATTATTGAAAACGAGTCTATCTAGAATGGTATACACACACTACCACATATGTCCAAAAAAGATGTAGCAAACAAACGCAACGTAAGTATCAAGTGTATGCGCCTACCGAAATCAATAGACACCACCGCGGTGGGATCGAGCAACTCCTGGGAAATAACACCTTGCGTAGCCATGGTGAAGGTTGGTAGTTTATTTAATCGATGAAGGATATTCTGCTTAGCAACTGGTGTAGTTACATATAAATGGCGTGTCACAGCAGGGGTGCCGTTAATAAAACATAATTTCACGCCTGAGAAAGGAGGTGACACAAATCCATCGTGCAACGTAACGATATTCTCCATCCGCATATCTTTTGAATTCAATATTACCAATTCTGTATATATTTATAAATCAACCGCAGCACGATACTGAACACGCATTTCGAATGCAAAATCGAACCCTAAATCCATAGCCTCGGTAGACACCACTGATGCAGCTACGTATTGCAATTTACTCATTGCGTTCCGCGACGTTCAGCGACAGTATCTCTTCGTGTCACCAGCACTTCTCATTAGTTTTAAAAAAAAAATTTAAATTTTTATAAATTCTACATGGGACGGCTATTCACACTTCACACGCGAACCTGGGTTATTTCTCAAGTAGAATCTCTCTACATTCACTATAAATATGCAAAAGCAACTATAAATTACATTTTCGCTGTAGAGTAGGGTACTATGTATATATATATATATACATATATACATACGTACATATATATATATACATACATACATACATATACATACATATATATATATATATATATATATATATATATATATATATATATATATATATATATATATATATATATATATATGTATATATATATATATA